ACTCTGTAAAATAAATTTTAAAATCTATTAGAGAATTTAATTACCTAAGTTTGTAGTTGGCATTCATTTTTAGAAGAATTTAATCTGTTGAACTTATGAGTTAATTAAATATTAATCAAAGAATAAGTGAACACAATTGTTCTTAATTTTATAAAAAATTAGAAGGCTTATACATAGAAAACTAGATTTACAAATGGCACTTGGATGTTTCAGAAAAACTAGTTTTTAAAATTTATTCGTTTAATAAATACAGCATTAATTTAAACACAAGCAGCAGTAGGTAGCTTTTCTCTGCACAAAAGCCCCTCTCCATTAAAAATCCTCAACTGACAACATCCTATGGCCCAGTGGAAGACTAAGCATTCCACAGACTTCCACGCTTTTGCTTCTGTGGGTCCCTCTACCTGGAACACCCCCGATACACACACCTTCTATACCTGGCAAAAGTTTACTTTTCCCAAAAGGTCTAGCTCAAATTCTATGAAGACATCCTCCTTCACCAGTGTCAGAATCCGGCTTCCTGCCCAGGACCACCTGAGCATATGACCCAGGCCTCCAGTAGACCTAGGAGAGCTGTAAACTGGGACCTTCACTATCTGTGTGAGAACAGAGCTGAATCTCAGCAAAAAGAAACAGTAGCACTGACACATAGTGGGCATCCAGGGAGCTTCAGCAGCCTGGCCGTGTAGGACATGGATTTTGGAGATTTCTGAGCAGGCGAATAACATGATACAATTTTTTTTTTTTTAAATACATGTTTGTTGGCTGGTATTGTGAGCAGTGGCTCACACCTGTAATCCCAGCACTTTGGGAGGCTGAGGTGGGTGGATCATCTGAGGTCAGGAGTTTGAGACCAACGTGACCAATATGGTGAAACCTTGCCTGTAATAAAAATACAAAAATTAGCCAGGCATGGTGGCACATGCCTGTAATCCCAGATACTCAGGAGGCTGAGGCAGGAGAACTGCTTGAACCTGGGGGGCAAGGTTGCAGTGAGCCTCGATTGCACCACTGCACTCCAGCCTGGGCAACAGAGCCAGGCTCTGTCTCAAAATACATACATACATACATACATGTTATTTATTTATTTATTTTTAGAGACAGGATCTCACTGTGATTCCCAGGCTGACCTCCAGCTCCTGGACTCCAGTGATCTTCCTGTTTCAGCTTCCCAAGTAGTTGGGACTACAAGTGTGACCCACTGCGCTTGCCTTGATTTTTTTTTTTTGAGACGGAGTCTTGCTCTGTCACCCAGGCAGGAGTGCAATGGCATGATCTCTGCTCACTGCAACCTCCGCCTCCCAGGTTCGAGTGATTCTCCTGCCTCAAGCTCCCCAGTTGCCAGGACTACAGATGTGTGCCACCATGCCCATTTAATTTTTTTTCTTTTTTGTATTTTTAGTAGAGATGGGGTTCCACCATGTTGGCCAGGCTGTTCTCTAGTTCCTGACCTCAGGTGATCCGCTCCCCTTGGCCTCCCAAATTGGTGGGATTACAGGTGTGAGCCCGTGTGCCTGGTGGCTACAAATTTTTTCTTGTGGTTTTTTTGACAGTCTTATTGAGGCATAATTGGCACACAATACACTGCACATATTTGCTTCTCTGCAGAGTTCACAGTAAAAAAAAAGTGCATTCATTAAAAATGTACAATGTGGTGAGTTTTTAGATTTTCTTAAATTACTTTTTTGTAGCGATGATGTCTTGCTATGTTGCCCAGCCTGGTCTTGAATTGCAAATGATCCTCCCAGCTGGGTCTCCCAAAGTGCTAGGATTGCAGGCATCAGCCACCGTGCCCAGCCACAATGTGAAGAGTTTTGACATAAGCATCTATGAAACATCACAACAATTGAGATAATTAAATTATTCTATATTAATTCTAAGTTAATCATTTTTGTTAATAATTTCTTTTAGAGATGCAATCTTGCTATGTTGTCCAGACTAGAGTGGTGTGGCTATTTATAGGTATACTCAAAGTGTACTACAGCCTCCAACTTGTGGCCTCTTCCACCTCAGTCTCCCCGATAGCTGGGTGGAAGGTAGCCTCTAGTTGAGGACCAAGACTTCCTTTTTTTTTGAGATGGAGTCTCACTCTGTCACCCAGGCTGGAGTGCAGCAGTGTTATTGGCTTACTGTAGTCTCTGCTTTGCAGGTTCTGCCTCAGCCTCCTGAGTAGCTGGGATTACAGGCACAGGCCACCAAACCTGACTGATTTTGTTGTTGTTGTATTTTTATTAGAGATAGCGTTTCACCACGTTGGCCAGGCTGGTCTCGAACTCCTGACCTCAGGTGATTGATCTACCCGCCTTGGCCTCCTAAAGTGCCGGGATTATAGGCATGACCCACTGTGCCCAGCCTGAGCACCAAGACTTTGTTTTTTGTTTGTTTTTTGGGATGGAGTCTTGCTCTGTCACCCAGGCTGGAGTGCAGTGGCATGATCTCAGCTCACTGCAACCTCTGCCTCCCAGGTGATTCTCCTGCCTCAGCCTGCCGAGTAGCTGGGATTCCAGGTGTGTGCTACCACATTGAGCTAATTTTTGTATCTAGTAGATATGAGGTTTCACCATGTTGGCCAGGCTGGTCTCAAACTCACCTCATGATCTGCCTGCCTTGGCCTCCCAAAGTGCTGGGATTACAGGTGTGAGCCACTGTGCCTGGCCAAGACTTTCTTTTTTTTTTTTTTTTTTTTTTTTTTTTTTGAGATGGAGTCTTGCTATATTGCTCACTGCAACCTCTTCCGCCCAGGTTCAAGCAATTCTCATGCCTCAGCCTCCTAAGTAGCTGGGACTATAGGTGTGCGCCACCACACCCAGCTAACTTTTTGTATTTTCAGTGGAGATGGGGTTTCACCATGCTGGTTAGGATGGTCTTGATCTCTTGACCTCGTGATCTGCCCGCCGGCCTCCCAAAGTGCTGGGATTATAGGCTTGAGCCACTACACCTGGCCCGGCCAAGACTTTCTTATGGCTGGGGCCTCAGCCTCTGCCTCATAATCCTCCCTACTCATTGCCAGGAAGGGCACAGGGCAGAATAACGGCCCTCCAAAGATTCCACATCCTACATCCTACAACCCATAATGTGTTACATTACCTGGCAAAGGGGAATGAAGGCCGCAAATCCGCCAAGTAGAGAAATTATCACAGATTATCTAGGTGGGTCCGTGTAATCACAAGAGTCCCTGAAGATGGAAGAGAGAGCCAGTGGAGAGCATCAGAGGGAAATGCCCCTGCAGAAGAATGCTCAGAGGCAACCACAGTGGCTTTGAACATGGAGGAAGAGGTCTTGGGCCAAAGAATGTGGGTGGTCTATGGAAATCAGAAAAGGCAATGAAATAGACTCTGCTAGGGCTTCCAGAAAGGAACATGGCCCTGGTGACCCCTTGATTTCAGCCCAGTGATACCTACATCAGATTTCTGTCCTACAGAACTTTAAGATACTAAATGTGTGTCATTGAAGCCAGTGAATTTGAAGTAATGGCACAGCAGCGATGGAGAAGTAATATACAGCATCACCCACATGCTTCATTTCACCAGTGACATCTGCATAACCACTTTCCAGACCACAGATGGGAACCAAACAGACCCGGACCCAAGTCGGGGCTCCGATCCTGACGCTGTGCTGACCTCGGACCAGTCATCTCACTGCCTGGCGATGGTGAGAGCTGAGGATGTGACGGGCTAATGGAGGTGGCGGGAATGGACACAGGGGGCTTAGCTCAGTACAGCTGGGGCTTTGTGCCTGTAGATGGCTGTCCTGGTTGCAGTTGGCAAGGTCCTTCTTTTATTCTGAGTGACTGGAGGGGCTACAACTGGTGAGGTGATCCAGGGCCTGACTTCTGTGTCCTGAACCATGTCTTGCTGATGTTTTCAGGAGAGGGTGCAGGCCTTGCTGGCGGTCCTGGAATGTTGGGGGCCATGGGCTCTTCCCTCCTGGCCTCTGCCTCCCCTTTGCCCTCACTCCCAAGACTGATTACTGCCTACCCTGCTGTTGGTAAGTCTATGCTGATCTTGTCTTGGGTGGATTTAACATCTGAAGCGCAAGGCTGAGCCCATGTCAGCATCCCAGTCGGGCCACCTGCATCCGCAGCATGTCAGGGATCCGCCCACAGCTGGCCCAGGTTATTGCCACACTCAGAGCCGGAGGCTTGGAACACAGGAGCAACTTTGCAACCAGCCACTCTCATTCCTGACAGCTCAAGGAGCTCGACTCTCAGGGGCTAGGGTACCCCAGGGCAGCAACACTAGTATTGCAACCTTCTCCGAAATCCTGGCTTGTTCCCCCTGGGGTATTAAAATATACTCATTATTACTTTTGAGATAGGGTCTCACTCTTGTCCAGGCTGTAGTGCAGTGGTGACATCATAGCTCTCTACAGCCTTGAACCCTTGGGCTCAAGTGCTTGCCCACCTTAGCCTCTGGAGTACCTGGGACTAGAGGTGAGCACCTGCTATCAATCACACCAAAGTCATTTTTTTCCTTGGGGTTGGGGGGGTGTCTCACTATGGTGCCCAGGCCGGTTTTGAACTCCTGGCCTCTGATAATCCTCTTGCCTCAGCCTCCCAAAGTGCTGGGATTACAGGTGTGAGGCACCTATTCAATATTCATTATTATATTCATTATATTATGATGGCACGGTCTGTATTATTATATTTATCATAAAGTAAGATTAATAGTACAGGAAAGTATATAAAAGTACTTAAAAATCCATCCTCATGGTTTTTGTAAAAAAGAAAAAATACAAAGAAAACATAGGCCGGGTGCAGTGGCTCACACCTGTAATCCCAGCACTTTGGTAGACCGAGGCGGGCGGATTACCTGAGGTCGGGAGTTCAAGACCAGTTCACCAACATGGTGAAACCCCGCCTCTAAAAGAAAAACAAAAGAAAACATCACCCCAATTCTTCACCTTTTGAATGCCACTTGAAGCCCACGTGTCCTGCCTCCAAATTCCACTATTTCCACCCTCAGCTCCCCGGCTGTCCTAGATCATCTGCTCCAGCCGAGCCTTGGCACTGGGGCTATTAGGAGGCAGAGGCTCTGGGTAGGAGTTCCCAAACCAGATTTACCTGTTCGTCGCACCTATCCCTAGAAGGGCGGGCTGGGGTGTGGAGGCGGTGCCCTGCGGACCCGTGGGGAGACAAGCCCTGGTCTCCAAGGCTGCAAAACCCTCGGCACCGCGGGAGCCGCGCTCAGCTCTCCCAACTCGATACGGAGCTCCCCGCGCGCCTGGTCCGCTGCGGGGCCGAGAGCAAAGGGGGCAGGCGCTGCGTGGAAGGCTCAGGGGCTTCAGACCGTGCCCGGGAAGCCGAGGCGCAGCCAACCAGGAAATTGGAAGCGGCCGAAGCCACGGGGAAGCGGGGGGAGGCGTCCGGGGGCCACGGGAAAGTGGGAGGGGCTCGGGCGTGGCTCCACCCGCGGCACTGGGAGCCGGGGCGGGCGCGCACGTGTGTATACAAGTGCGTGGGCCCACTGGGCGTCCCGGACTACAAGTTCCAGCGTGCCCAGCGGCGCTCCCGGGTTTTCTGGCCGCGCCGCCCGCTGGCTCCGAGCAGGTCGCCACTGGCTGGCAGTCGCCACCCAGTCCCAGAGTAAATAAGGGAGAGACACTCCCGAGCACCGTAAATAGAGTCCAAGTGGGCGGAGAGCTGCCCCGCGCCGCCCGCTCATGTCTCTGCAGAGCCGAGTGTCCGGCCGCCTGGCGCAGCTGCGCGCGGCGTGGCAACTGCTGGCCGCCCCGCGCCCCTGGCCCGGGCGCTTGGGGGGTGCCCCGCGGACCCGCAGCAGCGCGTGCGGTCCCCCGGCGTCCCTGGTCGCGTTCGGCCGCCAGGCGCGGACCTCAGCGGGAGTTGGGGCGTGGGGGTCGGCGGCGGTGGGGCGGACAGCCGGGGTGCGCACTTGGGCCCCCCTGGCCATGGCGGCGAAGGTGGACCTGAACACCTCCACCGACTGGAAGGAGGCGAAATGTAAGTGTAAGCACGAGGGTCTCGAGGGTGAGGGCGGCCCCACGTGGGGCTCCCTGGCTGAGCAGCTCCTAACGAGCGAGCAGCCCCTTCCACCCAGACACCTGGGGAAGCTGAGGCCCCATCTCCCCTGGAACGGACCCCTCCTCCCCATTCACAGCTACCCCCACTCCCGCCTGTTCCCACCCCTATGGAACAGTTGACTTCAGACCAGGTCCCTGTGTCCACGCAGGGTGGCAGCGTGAGGAAGGGGGCCTTCCTTACCCCACTGGAATGGGTCACAGAGTACCCCGAGATTGTGCAGGAGCTGCCTCACCTGTGTAGGAGGAAACTGAGGCCGAGTGCCACAACTGATTTCCCCAAGGTCACTTGGGGAGCTGTTGTCAAAGCGGAGGATCCCGGACTCCCCAAACTTTACACAGTGTGGTTCTCAAGTGCTCGGGAATAGGCCCAGGGAACAGCTAGGGGGCTGGCCTCCCACCTGGTGGGGCGCGTAACCCGACAGAGTGAGCTCCTTGGGCTGGCCTGTCCTGCCTTCACCCCACTCCAAGCGTGCACTCTGCCTTCCTGGGCACGTGGTCTGGTGCCCTTTCCCCTCCTCGCTGGCCTCTGGCCACCGTGAGCAGCTTGCTCATGCCAGGAACAGAGGTTAGAGGGGCAGGGCAGAGGTGGAGTCTTGTTCCTGTGACAACTGATGACACCCCCAAGAATCACGCTACCTCCTCTCACTCCTGGGAGGGGCATGAGTCCTGGGCCTGGGAAGGGAGAGAACCCGAGACAAGCCCCAAATAGCCCTGCTGGACACCCAGCTGCCCCTGCCCTTCAGGGCCTGCCTCCCGGGATCTGGTCTCTTCCCAGCTGGATCCCCTTTCAGAAGTGCAGGGCAGTGGCTCATTGGCTGGGCCCCCACGGTGGAGTGGGCGCGGTCTCTGGCTGGGCGGGCAGGATGGAGGAGCCTGCTGTGGGAAGGCTAAGAAGCAGCTGGCTGTCTCGGGAAGGGAGATGGAAATCAGAATGATTTACTCCTGACATGAATTGTGTGGCCTGCGCCGGGATCTGAAAGTGACGCCAGAAAGCAACGACTTTAGTCCGTGAGCAAATGGAGAACTTGTCAGGTGCTTGGCCCTTGCCCCAGAACAGCAGGAGAAGTGGGGGCTGGCAGAGACACCTGGAGGGGGAGCCGCTGTCCCCACAGAGACCCCTACTCCCCCAGCACTCTCTCAGAGCAATAACCCAGGAGGGTGGGAAAGAGCTAGGGCCAGTCACCCAGGCCCCTGCTCGTGAACTGCCACTGTTTCTAGGATCCAGCCCCCACACCCCACTCCTCGGTGCTATGAAAGCAGCCAGACCTGGTGGGGCCGGGGTTCCCAGGCTGCTGTGCTGTCCCTGGGGTCTCCCTCTTTGCTTCTAGCTGGGATTTCCAACCATGCAGCAAACTCTTAATGCCCTCTAGGTGGCCAGGACTCAGATGTGCATCAGACAGGCAAGGGCCCTGCCCTCATGGAGCTTGCCATCTAGTGGAAGATTACAAAGAATGTATTGTAAACAGTGTGTTCTAGCAGCCACAAGGCCTGGTAACCTCAGTGCTGTGAAGACGCCATGGCAGATGGGGCCACCTGAGCTGGGGAGATCAGAGGAGGCGTCTCTGAGGTGGTGGCCTAGAAGAGGCCTCCAGCTAGGGAATGGCATTCCAGACCTGTTAGTGAGTGATAGTGGCCCAGGCGCAGGAGTGGGGCTGGTCTGGGGCTCTGCCTGGCACTGAAGCCACAGTTAGAGGGACCTTTTGGGGGTGGGACGTGGAGATCTCCCAATAGGTATCGGTTGCTGTGTAACAAATCACCCCAACCTTAGTGGCTTAAAACACACCTGTATCCTCAGTCCCTGAGGGTCAGGAAAATGGAGGGAAGCTTAGCTGGGTGGTTCTAGCTCAGGGCGTGCCCCCGCTGAGGCCGGCTGGGGCTTGGTTAGGGTGGGAGGATGGGTGTCCTAGACAGCTCCCTCCGTGAAATGGCATTTGGTGAGAGGCCTGGGTTCGTCACCTTGGGGCCTCTCCACGGAGCTGCTTGAGTGTCTTATGGCATAGATGTCCTAGGCCTTTCCCCCACAGTACGTGCTCCATGAGAGCGAGAGTGAGGAAACCGCGATGCAGCCACGGTGCCTTCTTTGTCACCTCGTCTTCAAAGTCCTGCATTGTCTCCCCTGCGTTTTTCTTGGGCTTAGAATCAAGTCAGGGAGTCTGGCCACAACCCAGGGGAGGGAAATTAGGCTCCACCTTTTGAGGGAAAGACTGTCAAAGAATTTGCAGGTGTCTTTTATTTTTTTTTTATTTTTATTTTTTTTGGAGACGGAGTTTCGCTCTTGTTACCCAGGCTGGAGTGCAATGGCGCGATCTCGGCTCACCGCAACCTCCGCCTCCTGGGTTCAGGCAATTCTCCTGCCTCAGCCTCCTGAGTAGCTGGGACTACAGGCACACGCCACCATGCCCAGCTAATTTTTTTGTAGTTTTAGTAGAGACGGGGTTTCACCATGTTGACCAGGATGGTCTCGATCTCTTGACCTCGTGATTCACCCGCCTCGGCCTCCCAAAGTGCTGGGATTACAGGCTTGAGCCACCGCGCCCGGCCCCGTCTTTTATTTTTTTAAATGAATTTTGAGACAGAGTTTCGCTGTTTTTGCCCAGGCTGGAGTGCAGTGGTACAATCTCACTGCAACCTCCATCTCCCAGGTTCAAGCGATTCTCCTGCTTCAGCCTCCTGAGTAGCTGGGACTACAGGCATCTGCCACCACGCCTGGCTAATTTTTTGTATTTTTCGTAGAGACTGGGTTTCACCGTGTCAGCCAGGATGGCCTCAGTCTCCTGACCTCGTGACCCACCCGCCTGAGCCGGCCTAAGTGCTGGGATGACAGGAGTGAGCCACCTCACCCAGCCTAATTTTGTATTTTTAGTAGAGATGGGGTTTCACCATGTTGGCCAGGCTGGTCTTGAACCCCTGACCTCAGGTGATCTGCCTGCCTCCGCCTCCCAAAGTGCTGGGATTACAGGTGTGAGCCACTACGCCTGACCAATTTTCTTAAAATTAAAAAAATTAGTTTTTAATTTTTGTTGAGACAGGGTATTGTTCTGTGGCTCAGGCTGATGTGCAGTGGTGTAACCATAGCTCAGTGCACCCTTATGTCCTGGGCTTAGCGACTCTCCTGCCTCCGCCTCCCAAGTATTTGGAACTACAGGCGTGCATCACCATATGCGACTGATTTTTCTTTTTTTCTTTTTTAACAGCTGGTAATCAGCTTATTAAAATAGTTGATTTAAGCATCTGCAATGGTGACTTCCATCTCAACTCCTGGCTTAATACTGTTGGAAGTCATCTGCTTAAGAATCTCAAAGGACTGGCCCGGCGCGGTGGCTCAAGCCTGTAATCCCAGCACTTTGGGAGGCCGAGGCGGATGGATCACGAGGTTAAGAGATCAAGACCATCCTGGTCAACATGGTGAAACCCTGTCTCTACTAAAACTACAAAAAATTAGCTGGGCATGGTGGCACGTGC